CCCTAACTTCATACTCACTCCAACCATTACCTCTAATTAGTGCAACCACTATTTATAACCAAACCCCCCACCCTCAATTCTCTCTTACTCCAACAACTACCACCTTTCAACTCCCCAACCCCTACAACCCTCCTACACCCTATCAGCTACCACTCCACAACACACAACCCATTTCCTCCCTAGTGACCCCATGCCACAACCTTCAACTCTTTGCCCCTCGTAGCCATCACCCACCCAAGCAACCACCACCATGCAGCTCCTTTTACCCCTGCAGTCCTTCCTCACCCTAGTGACCACCACCCTCGTAACTCCAACCTCTGCAACTCCCCCGTTCCCTCTCCTTTCCTCCATTTTTTCTTCAACCTTTATGACCCTTCATCTTTACGACCTCTACTTTAAGGTTTTAAGAGAGAGAGAGAGAGAGAGAGAGAGAGAGAGAGAGAGGGGTTTGTTTTTGTGTGTAAATAAAGGCACTGTATGACCTTATACTGAATGACTTCCCTCCATTCTACTATCGTCCATACTCTATTTTGTTTGTCCCATCATGGGCTTACAACAATAATCTAAACCATTTATCTTGTTAGCTTAGTAGTAAAGATGAGTTATGCAAAAACTCAATTTTATCAGATATCAGTAAAGACATGTACACAATTTATATTTTCTTTTTAAAATAGATGACAACTGTGAATTTAAACATAAATCTTATATTTTATAAATAAAATGTAATTTGTTTATCTATTCATTGATAACTGTTGAAATTGATTTTTTGCACAAATGATTTTTATTATGAAATTTATACGATGAATGGTTTAGATCATTATCGTAAACTTAAATTGAGACCCACAAAATAAAGTATGAAGAAGTACGCAAGATAATGACACAGAGAGTAGAGAAAGAACTATTGAGGGATCGGGGGTGGCCCTTTCCCAAGTTTTTGAGAATTAGAATAATATCCCTATATTTTATGTATATTTATAAAACATGTAATGAAATGATACCATAATTTTATAAAAATTACTTATTAATTTTTTATTTCATTAGGGTTTTACAATCTATAAAGAAATGATCTCCAATTATTTTATAATTAAAGGTATCAATTTTATCGAGTCGATTTTGTTTATACAAGATATACATTTGACTTCTTTTTACAATAAATTATACTGATCTCTCATCAAGTTTGAAAAAAAATATAGCAAACTCTACAAAATTGACTTACTTATATTAGACTTTCCTAAGATTTTAATTCAGATAACATTGAGCATATTTTTCATTAGTAATTTATTCAGCAAACGGATAAAAAAAAATAATATTGTCATATCTTTTATACTATATTATTAATTTTCATATCTTCTGACTATCAAATTATTAGCACAGCACTCATGTAACAAATTGTCTTTAATTAGTCATTTGTCATTTTAAAAAAATAAAATTGCACATACCTCCGTACCCCTAACCCAGATTTCTGGCTCCACCCTTGACGGATGAATGAGGATCCTCTCCTTGCAGCTCCCATCCTTGCGTCCGTCCTTGCAGGCTTTCGGGTCTACTTTTAGGCCCAATTTTGATAATCCGAACCGTTCATATTTTATAATTTATTCAGTATATCATACCTGTAAAAAATCAAGTTGATCGGATATCAGAAAACATGTGTTCGGAAAACTGTTTATTAAATTCTTTAAAAAATAGTTTTTAGTTCAATTTTTCGAACACATGCTTTCTGATATCCGATCAACTTGATTTTTTACAGGTATGATATACTGAATAAATTATAAAATATGAACGGTTCGGATTATCAAAATTGGGCCTAAAAGTAGACCCGAAGGCCTGCAAGGACGGACCGCAAGTACGAGGCTGCAAGGAGAGAACCTTGCTCTTGACGGATAGGCGCTATTCCCCCACTTATCTTTGAAAAAAGAGAAAGTAGTGTAAAACATGAGATTGATAAATACCATCATTATGCAGAGCACCCAAGTCAGCAGCGTAGCAAGGTTGGTTTAAGGAACCTAGTTTCAAGTTCGAAACTTTTTGACGGAGTGCAGTTAATTAGAATTTAACTTTCAAGTTATTGTCACCATAAACATTTGGTATAGGTTCGATATTTTCTCGTTAAACGAGTCTTGACTTAAGTAGAACTTGTCTTAGAGAACGAGTCAAATTCTTAGGTTATAATCTCTTACTCGAAACGAATAATTTGACACTTTAGTGATCTCTACGAGGAACTGTCTTGAACTTGCGGGAGCGTAGGAGGGTTTCTTATAACAAAAAAAAAAAAAGCTCATTTTTTACTAACTAAAATACAAAAAAAAGATAATTCTTTATTTTACCTAATTCCTTTTTTAGCTATTTACTCCAACGCAACTCTTTATTTTATCTATGTATACACAAAAACTATTTAAAAAACATCTCAAAGCTCTTCAAATGTAGCCAGTTTTGAATTTTTTTATTTTTTTTAGGTGAAAACGACTATTGTTAATAACTAGCTCATTAAAGTAACTAAAATATAATAATATTAACTATGATAACTAATCAGACTCATTTAAAAAGTCCTTTAGAGATGCTCTAACAGCATATCCAAGCGAACCTATAACAGTCGACATGTTGTTTGAATGATAACAGGAAAATAGAAAAAGCCATCGCAAATTGCTTTTGATGGGAATTGGCTCTTATTTTTTTGAATTTTTTTTTCCGCAACCCATTTAGGTTTTGATTGGACAAATTAGAAAAATAAAAAATAAAAAATAAAATATATTAAAAATAAAAAAAAATTAATAATAGTTTATTTTTTAGTTTTTTTCATTTTTTTTTTTTTACTTTTTAAAATTTTCTACATTACATGAATCTGAAAAATAAAATATTTTTTTTATCATAATTTATTTAAAAAAAATTAAAAATACAAAATACAAATATAACTTTTTAAACCAGATGTCAAACCATACCACTATCTATGGGAGGCTGAATCTAGGAAAGTAGGACTTGGTGAATGTGCACTTACAAAAACATCATTGAGGGGGAAAAAAAACCATTGTTGGACCATAAATTAACATCTAGAGAGGTCCAACACATTTGACAAAAAGTTGGAAGTTGATTGTCCTATCTTTAGCCAGTTGGGATCTCTCCATGTGGGTTGTGGTCACATAAGTTTGACATGGACCACCATAAAATGCAAATGAGTATATCCCAACAAGCGGCAGAGTCAATATTTTACTTGAGAGAAAATAAGATAATATTAAAATAACTTATAAAAAAAATTAATTATCATTATTTCGAAACTATTCTTATATCATTTGTATCATAATAATAAACTATCGTGACATTTAAATAAAGAGAAATTTCAAACAATTAGAGTATATAAGTCCGAACAAAAAAATGCTAACAAAATATACATAATCAAAAGTGATGCTTTCTTAAATTTCTTTAAGAAGCAAACAAGGAATCAATTTATACCCCATGTTCGATGTAATGGTCGGTTCAATTCGCTGAAAGAAGAATGAGATTTTTTTTCCTTTTTCTTTTCAGTGATACTACAATATCCAGAATTATCATATTGTAATTTAGATTTATTTTATATATGAATTTCATACTATATAAATTTAATCTCAACCACTCAACTCTTATTCGGAGTACATTCAGAATACTTAAGTGGGGTTCATAAAATTTTTCTGTTTTATTCTATTAATGTAATAATTGAAATCAATCAATTTACTGATTAACAAAATCTTGATAACGTTAATCTCTCAAATTAATCCATGGATGACAAAGAAGTCATATTTTAATTGAGCAAATAGACAAAAATAAAACTTGATTATAATGTGATAAAAAAATATTTATATAAAGAAATTTTATAGTAAAATAAAAATTTAATCATTAAATTATAAGAAGTTTTGATGAAAAAGAATTTTTTTTTAAATTTTTAAATGTGGATAACTAACAAATTTACGGGCATACATAATTTTTTTTTTTTTGTTGGGGAGGGGGAGGAGAAATCCACGGTTTAACCGTAATAACAAATTATACCTTTAAATTTTAATTATGTCCAGTTAAATTTTAAGTTTTTAACTTTACCACAATTCTAAACATTTGTGCATTTTTGTGTGGAGTGAGTAACAATTTTTTATTTTATTTTTGCAACACATGCCATTTTCTTATTTGTTATTTTAAATTAATGTAAAATAAAAAAATTATTTTTACCATGAACCCTATTACATAGAATGAACTCTCATTCCCCAATATTACCCTCCCCCAACCACCACCCTTCTCCCACCAACCGCCCTCCTAGAATCACGTTATCTGCTCCGACAGTGCCACCATTCCCCAGTATGTCTTATTCTCCCAATGGTGTCACTTTCCTACTCCGCTCCACCATCCTCAAGTGGCACTCCCTTCCCTGAATGAGCCCTACCTTAGCACTGCCCCCTTGTTTTCTGACAGCATCTCCTTGTAAAATAAAATAAAATTGAAAAAAAAAAATCACTATAACAAAATGTACTTTTGGCTACTAAATTTGGCGACTAAAAAAAATTTAGTCGCCAAAAGTTGTGGAATTGGTGACCAAAAATTTTTTCAATCAGCAAAAGTACAATATTTAGCTACTAATTTTTTTAGTCGGGGTATATTGATTATTGGCGACTAAAAAAAATTTAGTGCCAAAAATTCCACAATTGGCTACTAAAATTAGTTAGTTGCCGAATGAAAAACAAAAATTTATTTTTTATCTTTGGCAACCAAAAGTTTGGTCGCCAAAAGTGTGTTTTCAGCAACTAAAAAATGTTTTAGTCGCTGTATGATTAGTTTTGGCTACTAAAATTATTTAGTCTCCGAATGTAAAATAAAAATTTAATTTTTATCTTTGGCAACCAAACTTTTGGTCACCAAAAGTGTGTTTTCAGCGACTAAAAAATGTTTTAGTCGCCAAAAAACTAAAATATTTGGAGGGAGAAATTTTGAAGGAATTTATAAAATTAATTGGCGACTAAAAAAATTTTGGTCGTTAATTGTGTAAAATGATATATATTTTCAGGGCCTCTCTCTATCTCTCTCTCTCTCTCTCTCTCTCTCTTCCCCTCTTCTCTTCACCTATGGTGGATCTCTCTCATCACCCATAATCTTCTTCTTCAAGGTGTTGTAGTACAGAGAAAGAGATGGGTGTTATGTTCACCATCCATAATCTTCTTCAACATCAGTTTACTGCCTTAACAACTCTGCGACTGTCCACCATCATTGAAAAGGAAGATCAGCAAACAGCAAAAATCCAATGTAGCATCGACACCCACCCTCACTCTTCGCTACCGACGCTGAATTCCCCAAATCAGAGGTATTTTTCTTCAGTTCTTTGTACTCTGAATTCCCCAAATCAGAGCCTTTTTGGACTTGTAATTCAGTAACGATTGAACTGTATTATTGTATACGTACATACATAGATTGATGAGATATATATCTATGATGGGTTCACCGTCAAAACGTACTGAGTCAAACTGGATACCGAGTAAACCCAATTTGGATTTGTGATTTCATTAACTGGGTTATGACTTCCATTCGAAACTCAAACTTGAGCGACAATGGAGTTCCAAATAAGAGAAGAAAAAGTAGAAGAAGAAAAGAAAAAGCAAAAGGAGTGGTCTGATTTTTGTTCCATTGTGTTTGCTTGATGGCAAATTGTCTTTGCCTCTCTGTTTTGGAGTTTGGTTTGTGCTGATACATGTGTGGTTTCCATGAATTTCTGCTTCTGCTCACCAACTGTTTGATGCAATGCCTAAATGAAAAATTCACCACAAAGCAATTACAACATGCTAGAATTTCTGGACAACCATCATTTTAATGATCTTGGGTGTTCAATTGTAGGCCATGAGGTAGATTTTTCTTGGATATCAATGGGCTAGGGTTTTGAGGGCTGAATATCTTTGTTTGGGGTTGTAAATAGAACTACAACAATAGTAATTCGCATGCTCTGTGATGTAGGATAATTTATTTTTATTACCAAATTGAGGTTTAATTTTAGGTTTGGCTTATAGATGATTGGGACAAGGATTTGGGATACAACTTATGGTTTATAAGGGCTAAATAGTGAGTTTAACGTTTTAAAATCAAATCTGGCAAGCAGCTCTGTAAATGCAATGACACTTTAAGAAAATAAGAAAGTGAAAGCAAATGAGGAGAAGAAAACAAGTGAAGCATAGACAGTCGCACTTGGGGTATTAGGTACTTGCACATAAGAAAGATGCATCACACATCTACAAGTAGTTGGCGACATAATACTTATTCATTTAAATTGTTCAAAATAAGCCAACTATGTTCTCTCTGCTACTACAACCAATCCGAAGGTAAAATAGTATAATCTTCAATGTTTATGTCCTGAATTTCATAAACTAATGTTGGCCATGTAACCTGCAAATCATTGGTCAGCGATTTCCTTAAATAAAATTTCTGTTACAATTGTCTAGTTGAAGAGGCTGTCCTAATTGATGAATTTTACTTTCAATGATCAATGTTAGTTTTTGATGTGTCCTTGATAAGGATAGCAAATATGAAGATCATTAAAATGCAGGGAAACAATATATGTGAGTATGGGGTCACAGTAGCTAAACAAAAAGTAGATTACAATAAGTCACTCAAAAGCAGGGAAAAAAAAAACAAAGGGTGTACTTTCCTCCAAATTAATTTGGGTATAGTTCCAACTGGTGAATGCAGAACTAGAACCGGGGGAGGGGGGAGGGAGAGAGAGAGAGAGAGAGCAGTCTAAAAGATGAAATTGTGAATGGAAAAAACTAACATAGGATGGTAACTTAAATTCTTGAATTTGGGGAACAGATCAAGTCCTCAAAAAGAATGGTAACTTTATATAAGGTCATTATCATAGAAACATGATACATTTATGTCATTATACCCATGAATCTTCACAAGGACCACAACCATTTATTTGGAAGTGCTAAGAAGTTATTGGCCTATAGATCCAAAGTTAGTGTTGAATATATTTTTAATTTAATAGATTGAGTTCTCTATGAGTTTTGGCAGCATTTACAGATTTTAGAGTTAAGATCCAAGCTACTTCTAGGTTTTGATGTTGATCTTTGCAATGAAGAAAATATATGTTGAATATGTAATGATCCATACTTCTCAACCTGTTGATGCCATCTTATAAAAGCATATGTAGCCAACATGCAAAATCATTTGTTCTCTTACCATGGAGATACTTAAGTTGTGCCTTTAGTGGTTGCCAACCACAGTAAAGTTGTGACCAAAATCCTGCTATGAGATGCATTGTTGAGTTAATCTTTTGGATGTCAATGTTGCTTGTGTCAATATCATCGAGGCATCTTTATTAATTTTTTTTAGATACTAGTATTTAGAATTTCATTCACGGTCACAAGTAAACAATAATTCTTAAATCACTTGCTGCTGATTTGTCTGATTCATCTACTAAATATTTGGAGTCATGTATGTTGTTGGTCTTTCTAAGGGTGGGTCTTCTTGTTTCATTTCATCCTCCTCTTCCTTGTATATAAATATAAACTTATTGTTGTATTTATATTCATACGTTCCTAGAGAGACACTTATGCATAGTTAATTGCTTTAAAAATGATTGACTTCTTGGAATTGACACTTTGGCATTGTCAATGTAAGGTTATGGCATAAACAAGATCAATTGCTGGTTAAAGCCAAACAAAAACAAGAGGTATGTAGACAGTTGTCAGTAGCTTTTGGTGCCACTGATTTACTTTGGCTGTATTTAGTATAAAATAAAGGATATTACTTCATTAATTTAATTACATTTGTCAAGTGAAAGGGTGAACAAGTTAGAAGAACATCATTTGTTGAAAACAGACCATCTAACTAACAATTACTGAAAATTAGTAGAGAAAGCTTATAAAAAAAAATCTTACCTACAATTAATCTAAGCTAATGTGGTTCGTACAGGCATGTGGCAACAGAAATGTAAAACATAACACATGCTAGAGGGGCCAGTATGCATGGAATGCAGGAGCCGTACATAGCTCCTTTGATATGAATTTATAGAATTCAATCAGAATATATTTCTATGTTATTAATATTTCTTTTCTTAATTTTAAGAGAAAAGATTAATTAGGTAACTCAATATAGAAGCTCAAGTTGGACTGAAAAACCTTTCTGAGTTAGAATCATTGTATAGTTAACAACTAAGCTTTGAACAAACTACAAATTTTCAGTTGACAATAATGGCAAAGATAATGCAGAAGACCCAAGAAACCTAGAATTTTGTAAGAGTTGAGTTTTAATGACTAGGACCTAACATTCCCTTTGCCAACATGCAGAACTGCTGATCTCTCCACTCATGTATCTGAACCTTGCAAGAAAAACTTGTTTTTGCAAAGTTTATTCAAAGAGGAGCAGGAGAAATCATATATGACAAATGGTAACAACAACGGGAAGCATGCTTTTCATAGTGACATTCAAGACAAGGATATAGTTGAAGCTCTAGAAAATGAGGTTAAATATTGGACAGACTTTTCAAAAGTTCACTATCATCCCCAGAGTCTATACGAATATAATGGTTTTCGTATGATTCTCTATTTTGTATAGAATTGTTATTTTAGATTGGAATATATTTAGTTTGTATGAAATTTGACATTAAAAGTTATTCCTTTTTGGATGGTTGGAAGTGAAATGGATGTAAATTACGAAATGATTGATAATATTTATTGTTTTGTTTATATATATGGTATAGGTTGCACGGAATACGTACAGGTTATGGACAAATTAAAAAATAATAATAATAATATCATGTTTTTGGCTACTAAATAATTGGTAGCCAAAAAGGAAGTAAATATTTTTAACAACTAAATAGTTAATAGCTAAAAAAAAATAAAAAATCAAAAAAAAAAAACTTTTGGCTACTAAAATTTTAGTAGCCAAATAAAAAATAATTTAAAAAAAGACTTTAGGCGACTAAATTTTTAGTAACTAAAAAGAATTACACTTTAGGTGACTAAAACATTTAGTAGCTAAAAAAAATAAGATGAAAAAAAAAACTTTTTGGCTACTAAATAAATTAGTTGTCCTAAATAATGTTAGTTTTGGCGACTAAATGTTTTAGTCGCTAAAAATGAGATAGTAATTTTTTTTGAAAGCTTTTGGCAACTAATAATTAGTCACCAATTTAGCCTATCAAGGACTGAAGTTTTTTTTGTCACCAATACCTTTACTTTTGGTGACTAATTGTTTAGTTTCCAATTTAGGACTTTCGGTGACTAAATATTTTTTAGTCGCCAATACCTTCCTCAACAATCTTCCCGTGACCAAGCCCGCGACCAAACTATTTAGTCGGGGAAACTTTCGGTGACTAAAATTTGACTTTTGGTGACTAAAAATTTAGTCGCCAAAAGTGTAATTTCTTGTGGTGAATCCAACATAAAGAGATTTACCATTGTGGTTCAATCTTACATCACGGCTGTGGCCATATGATGTGGTGGTCTTATTGATGTCTTTAATCTGGTGTATAGGAAAGGAAGGGATAAGTTATGGTGGGATAAAGATAAGAACGATAGGCAATGGTAGAAGAAAATGAAGGGAGAAGATCGGTGTCTGCTAGGGGTGGGGGTACTAGAATCATGAGGGTGTTAGATTTGATTGAGATGGATGGCAGGAGAGGATTGCTATAACAACCCTCATCTTGTCTTAGTCATATTCATGAGCATTCATATGATTTTGCCTTGTTAAGTTTTTACATGCAAACTTAGATTTGTTTTGCCCAAGTAAAGGTTCTTGTCTTGTCTTGATGCTATCATGTTTTGCCTAAGTGTTATATACATGCTTTGTTCCTTGCTTGGTGTGTTAAGCCTAGGTTATTTGTCCTTGCTGTCTCAAGCCTAGGTCACACATTTGAACCTCTTACATCTAGGCCGTTGAGTGTCAACACCTAGGACCATCTTGGAACAACCTTGGTTGACCTCCACCGTCACCTAGGTATATTGGCCGAGATGTGCATCACCTAGGCCGAGGTGTGCATCACCTAGGCCGAGATGTGCATCACCTAGGCCGAGATGTGTATCATTTAGGCATTTGAGACCCATGATCCTTGAACCTAGCAACCTTTTATTCCAGGACTGGTACGACCTAGGCCGAGGTGTGGCACATCTAGGCCAAGGTGTGGCACACCTAGGTCAAGTGTTATCCTCCCTAGCCGAGATCAAGAAGACCTTACTTGCCCGAAACCTATGTCTTGATCCGGGATCATTTCCTTGTTAGAGTGCCCATGCCACATTGCTTGTTATACACACTTTGTCATACTCTTGTCTTTTCATTCTGGCACCTTTTTAAGGAGATCCAATCAGATGATGCCACGTGTTCCCGTAGTGGTTTAAGCCAGCTAGTAGTGAGAAACCCATATCATTTGCTATGTCTTTGCCTTAGAAGAGAGAAAAGCTCTAGGAAGAAGAAGGAGTTCTTAAAGAGAGAATTAGATTTCCAAGCTTGATCCTTAGAGTTTGAACCGCTTGATCCGTGTTTTGAGGTTAGATTACTGATCTACTTTTGTTGTTCTTTATGTTGATCTGATCACATTGCATGATCTAGCATGATTCATGAGTCATGCATTGATTTAAAGTTTTGTTTTAGAAAGTGAAAATGATGTTCTTGTGTTCTTCAAGAAAAGCCTTGTTTTGATCCGGAAATTTGTACCAAGTTCCATGTTTTTATGTTTGTCTTCATGAAATCTTCAACTATGGGTACCCAGGTCCATGTTTCTGAACTCATATCATGAAATTTCAGATTTTGAATAAGAAGTTATGATTTTAGTATTCATGTTCTTCATGTTTATGTTCTTCAAGAGGAAACCTAGATTTCCAAATTTCATTTCCCTAGGTGTGGTCACTGAGACCCACTCTTGCCTAGATCCCACACCTAGGCCAAGCATCGTATCTCACCTTGGCCTACCTTGCATGATCACTTGCACCTTAGCCTTTCTTGCATGCACACCTAGGCCGACCATGGTACACCCTTGCCGGCACCTTGTAACATCTCGGCAGGTAGTCGCACACCTAGGCCTAGGAGACCACACCTCGGACAAGAGGTGTGGGACCTCGGCCAAGACTTCCTGAGTTCACCCAGCTAGGCCATTTTGGCCTAGATCATCTCTGTGCATCCATTCCGAGAACTGGTTGGTACCCAGCATGCTTTTCCAAGAAGAAAAACATTGTTTTGACTCCCAGCACGTGTTTTGCTTTGTCTTGACTTGGTTTTGGAAAGAAGTTTCGAGATCATTTTCATTCATGCAGAGTTTGTTTTGAGAGTGCATTGCATAATCATATTTGAGCATTCCTTCTTGTCTTCTTGAAATGCATTTAGTAGACATTACTATATGATTGTAGGTCTTGAATCCTTGCCTTAAGCCCTACATCCGAAGAGCTATTGTGAGTGGTATTTTTAATAAAGCTACGTTATAACGTTTTGATAAAGTTTTGCTTTGTTTCATTTTGGGAAAGTATTTGATCAAGTATGAATGATTATCCATTAGCTTTTGTATCAAGTATTATGTTTGTTTTGATGACATTCTTGGAAGATACTTTCGTACTCGGGGACGTTAAGCCTATGTAGCACCTATGTTGGAGATATCTCTTTGCATTTATCGGTCATGTACGAATGGTACCACCGACAGTCTTGTATGGGTAGGTTACGTTTTGCCACCGACGGTTTTCCGGGTGGGTTGTCTAACCGATTCCGGGTCGGCCACCGACAGTCATGAACGGGTGTGCTTCGATTCCGGGATGATTATTCCTTTGTTTTGTCAAGAATGTCATCCTTTGTATTATGTAGATGTTATTAAACATCCCAAAATGCTTTGAAAGACTTTGATTGATACTTGATTCATCCCATGTTTTGTTACAAACTATGATATATATTGTTTTGATAAAGATCTCGAATATCATTCATTCAAACCTTTATTATTTATAGCATTCACTGAGTATCCAAGCTCACCCTCTCCTTTATATATATGTAGGTGACGAGCAAGAAGGCGATGTTGCCTAAGCTTTGTTTGGAAGATGTTTTGGATTCATGTTTTGCTAGCATCTTGAAGATTATGCTTCTTGGTTTTATAGTTCATTTCTTTTGTATGTTTGGCTTGAGAAGCCTTTTGATCAAGATGTAATATGTACTTTATGTTGTTTTGTATTCAAGTTGTAAAATCTTGTTAAGATGTATGTCATTTCATTAGATCTTTGCACAGCTCTTATGGACTACTTTGATTTAAATTTATTGCTTCCGCACATGTAAGCCCCATATGTATACTCTGATTGTGTGAAACTTTGTAAGTTGGCCTTTGGTAATTTCGAATTACTGACCATCATAACACCATTTTACTAGGGGTGGAATGGGGTCGTGACAGTTATAATAGGTGGATTTAAGTGATGTTGATGGTGATGGGAGGCTGTCAACAGTGGATCTGGTTTATGCATTAAATTATTAGTTATATTTTTGTAAAATGGTGTGTTGGATGACAAAATAGCATTTTTCTCCGCTAGTTTCACTTGAGTCTTGACATAAATAGATGGGTGGTTGAGATTAAAATTGAAAATCAAGATTTAAATTGACAATTAAAATTTTAGAATTTAATTTGTTACTAGGGTCAATTCTCAATTTTTTTAATATATTTTTGTTTAAAAAAATTCTTTTAATTTAAGAGGGACAAATAAAAAAATATTTTCAAAATTTTAAATTAAAAAATAATTTTTAAAAAGTTGAGGATATGGCCGTGCGCTCCTAGTTCTTTGTTAGGCCACCGACACCAACTGATCCCAAACTGTATTAAAAAGAAGGCCTGCCACTTTAGGTTCTGTTTGGATTATTATTATTATTATTATTTTACCTAAAATTAAGATTCAAATAAAAAACAGTTTATATGTTTTGATTCTCTCCGTTTTGTAGATTTTATTTCATTCGTAAGATTACAGCATATCATAAAAAATTAAAATCAATAGGTTATTAGTATCACGTTATTATAAATTGTAAAAAATAAAAAATTAACTGTGTTTTAAATTTAAAATATTTTTTTGTTAAAATAGATCTTTTATAACCGTCATACATGAAAAAAAATTTCCATTTCATTATAAATAAACAAAATCTGAAAGAAGCAAATCTATCAACAAAATTACAAACTCAGAATAAATATTTATGCCTACCAATTTAAATTTAGGAGGATTCCCTTCCCGTCCATATTTTAGATTGGAGGGCAGTATTTAGGCCTATGGGTCTCACTATATGTCTCATTTTGATAATTTAATCGTTCATTTTTTATTTATTTTTTTCAAGTACTTCGTGTATTTCATACACAAAAATATTAATTCGATATGATAATTGTAACATATTCAACTTATCGTGTTTGTCTCAAAAAAAATAGACAATTGTGTTTTTAAAAATAAATTATCCATTTTTTTAGTGAGAAAACAAGATAAATTGAGTAAGGTATAATTATCATATCGATCTAATTTTTTGTGTGAATTAAATATACGAGATACCCGATAAAATGAACTATTCAAATTATAAAAAGAGAATCCGTGGTAGATCTCACTGTCCAAACAATGCAATCTAATCCACAAAGTAATTGCATCCTTAAATTATCCCATACAACTCATTTCAAAATAAATTTTGATTAGAAGAATCAATCTTTGCCTTTGTGCATGCATGCATCCAACAAAAGCTCACAAGTCACAAGGACTTGGGAACTCAAAAAGTCATTGTTTGAATACTTTACGAAGC